CACTCCAGTCCATCAATTAACATCTTGTGAAGTGAAAAGCTGCATGTTTTTAAGAAACAAAAACATTTTTAACTTCAAACTGCTTCTGGGTAAAACAAGTCTCTATCCAGAATATTTCTTTCTCCACTGAAAAAGTCATCTCATCTGAATCAGGAGCGAAATATGCTCAGATTAAGCACCGTTTATAAGTGAAAAGAGTCCAAAACTGCTTTAACAAGTATGCTGGTGGATTTTGATGTGAAAAAGAATAGGGGTTGGACTTTTTATTGGAGGAAGTGTCATTATGGAATTCTATTTTGGCCATAAACTATGAAACACACAGCTTTTCACTTCACAAGATGTTAACTGATGGACTGGAGTGGTGTGGATTATTGTGATGTTTTTATCAGCTGGTGAATACATTTTCATTTCTGGGTGAACCATTCCTTTAAGGCAATCATAATCCCCCAAAAAATCATGTTCATGTAGTTTTGTGTTTGGAAAGAACTTAGCAAGAAGTCTGTGCACTAATGCAGACCTTTCCTTGGCCAGAACTGACAAGCCTTGCAGGAGAATAGGAACCACGGTCTGATCCAGATACGCTCGTGTAGGAAGGGTCTGAGGGTCCACCTTCTGTTTGGTGACTTTTTCAGCGGTTGTTTTCTCATTCTCCACTATTCTCTAGAGAAACATAGAATACACTCATAGAACTAATGCTTCATTCATGCTGCAGACAATTCACAACTGTTTTTCTATTCCAGTCTTTAAGACATTATAAAAAACAAAGTAGTACTGATGTTGTACCTGGATGTTTTCAGTGAGGCCATATTCTGCATTTCCTGGGACCTAAAATAAACAAGAAACACAATGACACCAACTGATCGAGATAAACTGACAAAGTGCTTTCTTGTATTAAACACACAATCTTGCTTTAATGAAATATTGCAATGCTTACGTTACTCACAGCAGTGTGTCCCTCCATGCTCTGCTCGGCATCAGGGTGTTCTGGAAGGATCAAAATTAAACTATTAAGCCACATTAACAAGTTTAAGAACTCATACGCCGCAGTACTTTACATACAAGTCGCGCATTTGTGCATGTAACGTTAGTCACACACTGTAGTGAATGGCGGGATTCAATGGGCCACTGCAGAAAAGCTCAACGCTCGCAATAATGCACACAATCAGAGATATAACTCTCCCTACCGTATGTTAACACTGACTAGGTCTAAAACTGCAGCAAATATAATCACTGCAAAATTAACCACAAAGCTTAGAAACATCACTTACCGTCCGCCATAGTTTGTTGTTGGTTTCTACGCAGTTGACGCTGCGCATGCGCAAAGCACGTGCTTGAATGACGCGAGCGTAGGTTCTAAAAAGGGCGAGGCCTTGTGTCCCAGACATTTCAGATACTATTTTTTTAATTTAACTATTTACAGTGTATTTATGTTGTGTTTCTCAGTAGCATTATTAAGATGTAAAGCATTATCCAAACCACTACTGAATAAAAACGTTAACGGTGTGGTCACGAGACAAGTGTTACATTACTCCAGGTGGACCAATCACAGTTGTTTGTGATTACTAGATATGGATGCTTTTTTTGTATACACGTAAAGATAAAATACAAACGTAAAATTTATTTTAAAAATAATTATAATTATTGGTTATATCCATAATAACATAATGACAGAAAAATGTTTATATGACTATTTTACAAAATGTAACTAGTTAAATTCTGTAAATAACAAATTAAGAAAATTTAAAAACACAAAAAAGGTCTCAGATTATTATATAATAAAATATAAAATAAAAAAAGGTAAATTATGCTTCACTTTATCAACATTATATTTAATAATAAAAGCGCAAGCTTTGATAGCCTGCTTTCGTGTATAAATGAAACAAACAAACAAACAAAAAAGGTTTGGAGCCAGACAATGTCCTAAATGAAAATAAAAACAATTTCGCTTAATGCCCGCGACGCGTTAAGGTGTACGTCATTAGCGTGAGACCATTTTTTTTTAAACCAAACACAGCAGTGACTTCCGCGATCGATGCTGGCGAAAACAAACCGGAGAACCGACATAGCCGAGAAATATAACTCTTCCTCGTCAAACCCCCGGCTGGTTATGGTATGGAGAGGCCGACTAGGGTGAATGAATTCTGGGGACAGAGCGAGACAGATAGGACCAGCGCGCGGAGGAGGACGCACCTGCGGACAGGTGTCTAACGGAACCGTCCGGAGTCTGCTGGACCGGCTGCGCTCGTTCATCCGAACCCTCCGCCGGCTCCCGGTGTCGCTGCTGAGAGCTCTCCTCCTGCTCCTCCCGTGTCTGATCCGCCGAGCCATGGCGGTCAGGGCCAGAGACCGCGGCTCCGAGGGCTGCGAGGAAACCGGAGAGCTGATCCGAAACTACCACAAACAAGCGTTCGAGTTCATTTCTTTGGCTCTGCAGATCGATGAGGATGAGAACGGTATCTGGCTTTATTGCTGTTATGTATCTGAAATATGTGTAAATATCTGAGAAAAAAAAGGGAGAAAAAATTACATTTATAAGAAAAAATACATTTATAAAACAACTAATTTTACACACACACACACACACACACACCAAATTAGTTGTGTTATAAATGTATTCTGTACATGTATCGAATTATGAATACTTCACAATTAGGCTACTGTTAATATATGTATCGATTGTTGATTATGATTATATATATTATTATTATAATGTGCAGGGTTTCCATTTTTTATTTATTTTAAATATTTTATCTGTATTAAATTATTTATCTGTAGACCAAGTATTATAAAACTGAAAATCAGTTAAGTAGCAAATGTGAATACCATAGTGTTAGTATATGAATACTGTAAATATGGTAATATCATGTGATACCATCGCTTTATCATGGCACTGCCTTACTTTTTACAAGGTTCTTTTTGTACTTTCTGTAAGGCTCTCTTGTGTTTTATTGTTTATGTAAACAGGAAATATTTCACTGTCCATTCCACAAATGCAAATTGTCTTGTGCTTACACACGTAAGATTTTGTGTTTGGTTTTACTTTCAATTCATCTGTCCAGGAGTGGCCCCCATTTGTTGGCATTTCACTAGTCGTATGTGAACTAGTGCTCAGAAGGTATGAATATCCAGTGCAAATATCAATAACTAGAGATTGGGCTGGATAATTTGTAATGTATGCTAATTTATAATTATAGCAACACCTAACCAGGATGACCTAGTCCT